ACCGACGGACCCAGGGTGGGCTGCCTAGGCCCGGTGGGGCTGAGCTCCGCTGACCCTTTCCGGGGTCTTCCCGCTGCTCCATCTGCATGAGAAAGCCCCACAACCTCCTCCCAGTCGGCGCCCCCAGGCCCTAACTGAAAGAACCGGAAGCTACCAGGCACCTCCCCTCTGTGGGGTCCCCGACCTCCCTGGACCAGCCACGACCTGGAGCTGGGGAGACCCGGCCAGGGCAAGGGGGACCCTGTCTGCACTCCGGTGCAACCGAACCCCGGCAGGGCAGGCCCACCGGGGCTCCAGGGAGACCCTCCCCCTGCCGGGACATGGAGGTCCCAAGCAAGGTGACCCCCCCACCGAGAGCTGGGGGGAGCCCCTCCCCCAGCATCCCCACCAGCCACTAGCACCGAACCGAGCCCACCCGAGCTGAGCGGGAGCTCAGGCAGAGAGCGGGGCTCAGCGGGGCTCCCGACCAGCTGCCTCCTCCAAACTGGGCCCTGCCTTCCCGCCATCTCCCGCCCCCGCCCAACCCCCAGGCGGGTGGGGGGGACCTTCAGAGGGGACAGCCCCAGGGAAGGCCGAGGGGGGCCACCAGCTGCTCTGACTGCTGCCCCGCCCGCCGGCCCCCTTGGCCAAGCCCCCCAGTCCCAGCACACAGCTGAGCGGTTGGGGCTGAAACGGCCAGCGGGGGCCCTCAAGCCCTGGGGTGCCCCTGGCGCCTCCACCGCTCTGACCCAGCTCCCCACACTGCCTCACTTCCTGCAGCTTCAACCTTAAAATGGGGAGGGGACTTCCCAGGGGCGCAGGCAGGGGTAACCCCACCATACTGGGGGGTTCCATGCGGTGGCCCAGGCTCCTCCTGACGAGACCCCACCTGCTGCACCCAGGGGCTCAGAACCCCGCCAGCGGCCCCACAGAGCGGACACAGGCGCAGGTTCAGAGACTCCAGGTGGGGCTGGGGCGCCCCAGCGGGGGAGGGCTCTCCTTTGGGGGTGACCGCGTCCTGAGTGCACCTGTCTGAGAGCCGCTGGGTGAGCGCAGCGTCCTGCAAGCGCACCGGGGAAGGGAAGGCCAGCCAGGACCCCCGCCCCAGGAACTGGGAAGAGCATCCTGCCCCCCAGGGTGGGCCCCCCACTCCAGGAGGCCCAGGGCTGCCGCAGCGCCCTGAACAGTCTCCCAGGACAGCCCCAGCCCCATGAGCGCTGCTATTCGCTGCGGCCCCCGGGGACACACGTGAGCCAGGCCGAGCCCAGGTGGCCGAGGGCCAGGGTGGGAGGACGCTGGGGCTCTCGGGCTCCCACAGGTCCGCTCGCCCAGGGAATGCTTTGGGTCAACACATCTGACCTTCCACTGGGCTTTCCCGGCTGCTGGAAACCAAACTCGGGGCCTCCCTGGGGGCGCAGGGGCCGGGGAGGGCCCCTGGGTACAGCAGACCCCTCCGGTCAGCCCGGCCCCTCAGCAGGGGGTTTCATCCATCCGCCTGTTCCGCTCCATCTCTGGGGCGTCCTCTCACCCCCGCACCCCGCACCTCACCTCACGGGTACCCCAGCTCTCTCACAAATAAACGCATCTTTGAAAATAAAAACAAGCAGACGCAAAGTTGCACGCGCGGCTTGAACCCCCAGTGTGCGCGTGCCGGCTCGCCCCAGGGGCAGCAGGCAGGGGCGGGGCCGAGGCGCCTGTCCTGGCAGCGATGGGTGGCTGAGTG